TGGAGATTCATCTTCTCGTGTATCTCCAGACAAGAGCTCAGTCTCAGCTAAACACAAAAGACTCTCACTCGCTACAGAAATGTACCTTTCAAGGACTTTCAAGACTCTTCTAAGACTGTGTCCAGTTGAGTCAAGACCAAGTTCTGTTCAAGACTACAATAATGCCTTCCCAATGTTAATCCTCTGCTCTCCTGCATAACCATTGCACTTGCCTTATACTTGGCTTGTTATGAAAAGCCAAGTATAAGACAAGTGCAATGGTTTTAAAAGTGATCTAAAGTCTGAAGTGGAGACCGGTCTTAAGTAATTCAGGCAATAGAAAACTAAATGAATATGAATACAAAACTCTGAATTTGAATTAAATGTAAGTTTTTTTTTTCTCTCAATGTCAAATCAAATGGACTCTGCAGTATCTGCATTATCACAACAGGAAAGGACAGGATTATGGTTTTGCATTATTCTGGGGAATTTACCTTTTTAATGTATAAATTGGATTGGGAAATCCAGAAGACGACGGTAAAATATAAAACCCTCTGAACTAAAACATGACGGTGTTTGTTTCTGGCTCTATTCACTCTCACAGCAAGTACTCTGGAAATACCATTCAGGCTCAAATCTGCACATACTTCAGACACCCCCAACCCTCCCACCTGTGTTCCACCCGAGTGTCTTCACACACATAGCCACCCACACTGAGCAGATAAAGGTTGCAATGGTCAGTCCTGGAAACCAGAGATGAGAACATCCACCTAGTTTCAGGGTATGTAAGAAGAAACAGGTAGGAGACTGTTTCATTGCAACTGACTCATCACTCCTTTAAAACAGATACTCCCAGCAGCCCCACTGGATCCAGTTACTGCAGTGGACAATGGCATACTGGCACAGGGCACGGCATCTTACTCATTTACAGATAACTTTACAGAGGAAAAATGATCATGTTGCTTTGAAACTCCTGTCCATTTAAAGTTTATCAGCATTAATGCTTAGACTTCACTGGAGAGTTCATTCAGCCAATTGCAGTAACAAATCCCCCCGGACTCAACCTTCATTTTGTACCTCAACGATACACCTGTGAAGTTCCATGAATGTATCTTACATGCTTTCTCGGAACACGCCCATATTCTTACTTTTTTATGGTTTCAACTGCACACGTGTAAAGTTATGTAACTGTATATTGCACAGTTGCAACGTTATCCCCAGGGGTTTATTTACATACTTTTTAAAACTCTTTCTACACCACATAATGCCTTCCTATCAATTCACCTTTACATATAATACAAATGTGGACCTGGTGTGTTGCCGTACCTCCTCTTTTCTGTCAAAATGTTGCAATGACTATTGGTCAGTCAATGAATCCATGAGTGTTCAGAGTGTAAGAGACTACTGATGCAATTATAAAATGATGTTTTGTACAGTCTTTGATTAATGTGAAAGTATACAATTTAGTTTTTAGTATTTTTATACCCATCCTCCACTAATTTCCAAGATGGTGGAACATTTTACCAATGGACATCCTTTTTTCCATGCCCCGTTTGCCCTTTCTCCAGGAAGTAGGAATACATAGATGGGCAGTCTGTGAATGCAGACAGGAATTGAAGAAGGAAGCAGTTATATCCTCTCAAAGCGATAGGAAACATTTACACTTTAGCAGGAACTAGTTCAGAACATATTTCAATAGGTGTCTGCTTTCACTTCAAGCTTGAACATGTTATGACATACATATATAATTTGCTGGATTGAAAGCAAAGCATTTTCAAGAAAGAAACCACATATATCCACAACACACACACTCCTCTCAGGCAAAGTATACTTATAACGATATTCTATTTTCTCTTTATCCAAAAACCTTTCCCCTCTCTGACCTCTCGAGGTTCTATTAGAGGGTAACAGGTTGCAGAGAGGCCTATTCCGGCATGGGAGTGTTATGACCGTAGTCACAGCGTACCTCCTTACCTCTCACCAATTTCAATTAAGGTTCCAGCGGAGACCTTGTTCCCTGCGTGTGCCTCTCCACCTCTGTTTCTTACTTCTTACTTGCTACCCTTTTCCCTCAACCTATCCTAAGGGAGTGCATACACATTAGTTTAGCTGCTATAGGCTCGGACTGTCGGGGGACGCCTTGCTTCTTCCTTCTGTCTGTCTGTACCTGTGTACTCATGTTCTGAATAACCCAGCCTCCCCCAAATTTATTTTTCTTTTGTGTCTATATCTACGCCGGGATCCTGAGTCGTGGCTGATCCTGTTGCTGTGATCCTGTGTCCTGGATCCTCTATCCTGAGTTCTGGATCTGAGTCCTGGACTTCGAGTTGTGGCTGAACCTGTCTCTGCGGTCCTGCCTGACTCTCATCATACTACTTCCCTGATGGCTCCCACAGAACTGTTGACATCCTCGTGGATTCATCTTCTTATTACAGACACATGCATTTCCAAACATTTGGTCTACCTATGCTGTAAAATGTATTATCTCTTCGATTCACGGCATCTATTGCACGTCTGTCCGTCCTGGGAGAGGGATCCCTCCTCTGTTGCTCTCCCTGAGGTTTCTCCCAATTTCCCCTTTAAACTGTGGGTTTTTCTCTGGAAGTTTTTCCTTGTACGATGTGAGGGTCTAAGGACAGAGGGTGTCATTTTTCTCAAACACAAAGTATTTTCTGCACAAACTGTGCTGTTGTATTTTTTTAAAGTGTCCTTATTGCAAAGTATTTTTACTGTATGTACAGCACTTTGGCTCGACCCAAAATCGTTTTAAAAATGTGCTGTATAAATAAAACTTGATTTGATATATATTTTACCAAGTAGATGAAAAAATACTTTCAATACATTTTCCATCACATAATCTGCTGTTAATGCATCATAAAGTACACTGCTCATTTTGTCTGTGTTACGTTGACGTAATGTAAAGAATACTAATTGTATCTCTGGCCTTGAGAGAATCTATGTTGGAAATACCCTCTATTTGAACCCAAGTTGCAGCCGGGCGGATTTTAAGATACGTATAGCCATAAAACATTTCAGTTAATAGTTTGGTAGTTGTGAATGTGGGGAATGTGAGGAAGAGAGAAGCCAGGGGAGTGATTGTCTCCCTGCTTCTTCTCTGGAGATGTCCGGAAGTAGCACTTCCTGACACACAAGAAGTGGGAAATTTAGGTTATTTACTCAAGAGGTCTGGGGAAGTGCCTGTCTGGAGTGTGTATATGGTGTGTGTTAGGGGTGGTGGTGTGGTATATTCTAGTTTGTTTATCATAGGGTGCCATTATGAGTCCTTCCCAGTTCTTGGTCATCTGATAGAAACCGAAAGCCATACTGTGATAGGGCTCTGTACAGACTTTCTCTTTCTCACATTGTCCCTGTCCTCAAGAACCCAGATGGGCTCCAGATGCTGCAAGATGTAGGTCTTGAGCGCAGTAGAGGACGTCATATTAATTTCAGCTATGCCTTTTTGAGGAGTGACGATTTAGATAGTGTTGGGGTTGTGATAGTTAGTGGATGCAATATCTTGCATCTCATTTCCACCAACAACGTTTCCAAGGTTTTCTTTGATGGCCGAGAAGGATTAAGCCCGAGTCTTCATCATGTCTTCACCTTGAGCCTTAGCCTTCATGAGTCTTCAGAGGGTACCTGTGCTTTGGAGGACGTCTTGCCATGTTCCTGTGCCTCAGACGTCCCTCTGGCAACAAGGATTTGTATTGAACAGTTGTACTTCATTCTTGTTTATATAAATGTATTTGTTCTAATATGGTGTAATTCTGAGCTAATTTCCCCCAGGGATAAATAAAGTATTGATTAATTGATGCTTAGAGAGTGAACATGTGTGACCATTTAAGTACAGAGTGAAATATTTGGACACACTTTGGATAGGTTGCCATGAAGCTTTTACAGATGTTCGTGATCCAAGGAGGACTTCAATCAGTCTTCAGAGGTTCTAGCAAAATGACAGGGACTAGTTTCAGCGTGGGAGGAGAAATGTGTTGAGATTATTGGTCAGTTGCTCGAAGGAACAGGTTCATATTGTAGTTAAATGTCATTAGTGTCATTTATCTTCTACTTTATTGCACATAGCTTATCCGACTACCAGCACTGTCACCTTTAAACTATGGGTATTAATAAATGCTACACACTGTACTTATATAGTAAAGTCCATCCTATTGAATTTACATGTTCATTCCCTGTCTTCCTTTATGGAGATATGTTCTTATACCTAAATGCATTGATGTGTGGGCGATCATACCAAAGCTAGCTTGTATAAAAGAGCCGTTAGCATGCTTGTCCGAGGTAAGCCACTTGCCATTATCATGCTTATATGTAACAGACCAGTAAACTAAGGAGAAAGCAAGGAGGACACCTCCTCCTCTACATGGGTCAATCGGGAGGAATTAGCACAAGGCTTGATGATGGGCGCTGGCACTAACAACAGGAGGTGAGGTGTGTGTGGGGGGGGGGGGGGTCGGTCGCTGAGTGACGGAGCCTGTCAGGGAACAGCGAGTCGGCCTGCTTTGATGTGAGGGAGGGAGCCCCTTTTCTCGCAGAAATCCCATTAGGGTTAAAGGTCTGGGGCTCCAAGGTGGTCACATACTCCAAGAGGGGAAAGAGAGAGATGTTAGAGAAAGGAAGAGTGGGCCTTAAAGGATGGGGGTGGGATGCAGTGTGGCAATGGGGGCCCAAAGCTTTTTAAAAACGATGTAATTGTACCAAAACCTGTGATGTCCTGAGATTCAATGAAGACAATGTGACAAAGCAACAGGCAGCCCTCTATTGTTCCTTTCTACGGAGACATACTGTACTTTCCCCACACACACACACACACACACAGGAAAATCACTGAGCTTTTGACATTTTGTAAATGAACTTAAACCGTGTGTTTTTGTGACTTTTGTAAAGCTTTCGACTTCAGTAGGAAGGGTTTAGTACGCCATGTGATTTACCAGACAACACACACCTTTTCAGCAAAACACATTTATCTAACAAGAACATAAATGAAAAAATGCACACACAAGTCGACGTTATGGATGCCATACTTTTTATTGTGCTGGATAAAAGGCAGTGAATATCTATAAAGACTTTGTTTAGCAAGCACGCACAATTTGCTCAGAAAAAGAAAGACAGTAATAATATGTGGATAGAGGAAGCGATAAAAGTTAGATAATGTATAGGTTTTTGAAATTATACAGAAGGAGCAAGGAAGAGGAAGAGCTGAGAAATCTCTTCCTCTTCCCTCACAGCTAACTACAAAACATTGCATAATGTAAGAACAATCCTTTTCAAAGGTTACATGTCCAGTCTTACCTAATGGTGACTGAGAGGCAGAGAAAACAGTCTTATAAAATTCATCCCCCACAAAAATAAACTATATATATATAAAACTTTAAAATGTTCTCCATATGCTCACGGACACCTGAATTTTAAACAGTATTTAAGTTTGAAAATGAGGTAAAAGTAGGCCATTATGGAGGTAGTAATGTGTATTCGATTGTACTAGAACGTGATGTCATGAAGAGAAACTTCATTAAGACTCCCAGAGGTGGAAGCTCGTAAACAGCTTCTACAATCAATCTGTCCAACAGCGAGGTAGCATCACCTCCAGACAACTTCAGCAGGTGTTTCAGTTTCTACTCAAGGTCAGATCTCTGGAGGAAAATGACACTTTTCAAAAGCTTGTACCTTGGATCTTGAGGAGCTCAGTGGTGTCATTTTTGACCCACAATTTACACTTGGTATTATGTGTGAATCCATTTTTTTTCCCGTAATCCATATAGATGACATGTTAATACCAGGTCTAAAAGGGGTCTTTCTGGCTGATGGGTGTGGTGTTAAATGATGAAGGCTGTCTGTTTCAAAGACATGCGATAAAGATGCTGATCAGCTGCATCACAGTTTATACAGCAGCTTGTGATCCTCACTGTTTAGATTTGTTTGATTACTAGACATATTATTTCCTGCACAGTGTCTGGATAAAAAAGTCATTTTAGGCAATACCAATATTTTACTGAGTTGACGGTGTAGTCCATCCAGACTCTTCACATCGATCAAATACTTGTAAAATATTTCTAAAATTAGATATGATTAATCTCTGTTTGTTTTTGGGTGTTAAATCTAAATTAATCCGAGCACAAAGATTGGGAAAGTCTGAAGACAACGTTATGGTCCAGAACACTGTGCAGATTGTTAAGTGTGAGTTTACCACTGCTCCATAAGTGCCATGCTATTGTTCCGACTGATTTTTTCTGAAAACCAAAACAAACCTGAGAACTGTACCAATGGACCAAACGCTAGTTTGTCCAACAGCCTGTATCCTGAGAACTGACGGCCATTGTTTCAAAGTGCCAATATCACTCCTTTTGCCTAAACCCAAGCAACACAACCAACAAAGGCAACAAGCAATAGCCAATTGGAGGGAGAGAAATATTGGGAGGGTCAAATGATGCTATTCTGCATAATAATTATCCATTTGCTTCAGTTTGTAGCAGGGAGAATTTTTCGTAAAAATGGGCCTACTGGTGAAGCTGCCTTCACATGATTCGGGGTCTGTTCTTTGCGCAGAGTTGGGTGCTTCGTACAGCTGTCACCTGATTGGTTGCGTGTTGAAAGATCAGGGGTAAACAAGGTCAAAGTTGAAATAACTTGAACTGTGAGCCCAGTGTTCGGCAACAATTTGGAGCGGTGCGCAAAGCAGTTTTGTCACATATCTAGTGAAGGCAGCTTAATTTTGGGGGGATAATAGGATGTTGGACGAATGGGCTCTTGGTCTAATGTGACACCTTTCAGACTTTCAGGGTTTCAGAAATAAAGGACTGTCAGAACATTTGACAGTCGCCGTTTCCCGTACAGGTGTTGCTGATGACGGCAAGTTGAACGGATCGATGTAGCTCCTCTGAGGCTCTACCTTAGGCCCAGTTTAAAAAAAACGTCTTAACGTTTCAAAGGTTGCCATGATGACAGGGGGAAATTGTATAATCCATCACTAAGTACAAAGCAATTCCATATACATCTGGTTTAAACCATATCACAAGAAAAGAAAATCACAACAACTAATCAAGTATATTGATATCTACTAATTAAAAACAAGAAAACATATTCATGAATACAATATACAAAATCCAAATATATCTGTTTCAAAACCTGAAGTCACTTTGAAGGTGAGAATCCAAATGTACTGAGATTTGAAGCTTGATCTGATACTTTAAGTAAGGAGCTTCTGTAGTCCTGATATAGATCATATCATACATCAATGTAACTCATACAGAAAGTAAAGAGACTGGAGGTAGGTATTTTTCTATTGAATAGTCCATTTTTAGCGGTCTGTTTGAGGTACTGTACATACAGTATGTAGGTAGTACATAACTCAGGAAAAAACAACTAACTATTCAAAGCCAAAAAAACATGTAGTTTTATCACGCAGTGTTGTACAAACACTCGATCCTCAATAAACCGTAATAAATTCAAGTTAACAGTTTGTCAAAAAGAAGTCCCAGTTTGCAGATAATGCTAAATATGTTTCATTGCAATGTTAAGATACAAATTAAAATTAAGGTAAATAAGAAATAACAATACGTAATATGTTAGCTGCTTTTTTGTTTTTGTTTTTTTTAAGTATAAAAAGACACTGAATCAATGCTTTGTCCAAAAATCTCAAAAGAAGAAAATGTCAGGCCAGTCAGAGCCAAGTGATACTTTTTTCGTGTAGCTTTTGACTGCTTATTGTCTTGATTGGTGTTTTTTTAACAGTAAAATTGACATTAAAAAAATTAAACTAGGGGCGTTTTCAGGTTTTCGCTTTAAAAATGTGCTTCAAATGATGGGATTAAAGCTTAACGCCACCACTTTAGGTTGAATATGGTAAGTTGTCACCTGTGTGGATGAGTTTTAATATTCTTCATATCCTCGTAAACTTGTAAAAGCACTGCCTTGGTCTGTCATACCCAAAAGGAAAGAGGGTCAAAATAATTTTCCTTTAATGTACATGGCTCTGTCAAATCTGACTTTTGCTTCTTTATGGATGTTGTAGTCTTTACCTGACTGAATCAAACATAATAGTTGCAGACATCTTCCTGTTCCTCCATGACAAGACTACAACCAACCGGGATGACCTCGCTTTAATGTACAGTATAAAGTTCCAACACAAATATCTGAACTTCCCAGGCATCTATTTGTGTGTTCATTAGCTGGTTGTGCTGAGTCAGAGGTAGTTTGAAATCATGATAAGATATTGCATTTCAGTGACCAGAAAGCGCTGGCATACCATCAGGTTACCTCGAACGTAAGGCTTCCTGGAGTTACATTGCGTAACATCCAACGTCACGCTGCCACTAAATCCAGGTATCAAGTGTGTCTTGAGGTAATGTGTGTTTTGTTCTTGTGGTTTTTGTTCTTAAGGGTTTAAGGTTTTTGCAAGTCTGTGGATGTTTTTGCAGTGTGACATCAATGGTTAAATTGAGGTTTTAAAGCTATGTTGCGCAAACTTAACGAAGCTATGTACACAAGCCTGAAAATGTAAATGTGAACAAATGGTATACAGTAGTCTGATGCAATGTTTGGTAGTGGAGGATGTGAAGAGGTTTCTAGAGCAGTAAAAGAGGCGTGGCATTCCACCAACAACAGGGAGAGCAAAGCAGAACTCATGTAGAATAAAAGTTCTGGTCTTTAAGTAACACCGACACCCTACTGGAGGACTGCCGGACTATCAACTCTCATTTGGACAATAACCTTAAGAAAAATTCTGTAAAATGGGCTACCCAAAGAGGTCCTGTTTTTTTTCTATGCTTATACTGGCCCAATGTTTTTAGAATCTTAAAGGTCACCTATTATGCAAAATCCACTTGTTCATGTCTTTTATACATCAACATGTGTCCCCTTTGTGTAAAGAGACTCTGAAAGTTTCAGGAAAAAAGATTCGCTCTCTTTTTGTCCTGATCCATTTATATAGAAACCTGTCAGATCAGATTTTGGTCACTTTATGATGTCATAACGATTTTTTGGGTTGTGTAACCATTAGCCAATAACCAACCAAAGTAACCCCCCCCCCCCCCCCCTCTTCCACCTTATCACCTGAATCTCCTCCTAGAGCACCATTGAGTTCTTTTTAACCAAATATCTCTCAGAGGGGCGTGGGGAGGGGCTCCTTATTTTCATCTAAAGTAACAGACAGAGAATCAGCACTTTTGAAACAGGGCTGAAACAGAAGGGGATTGTGGGAAGCTGCAATGATCTGTTTAGTATTTGGAGCCAAACACTTCAGAGACATGTTTTGTACATATCTGAGAACTATAATATATTGATTAAAAACAGTATAATAGGGGACCTTTTAAAACGGTGTGGGCCAGGGTAGAAGTTCTTATATTTGCTTTTCTAAATAAGGGGAGGGGATTAAAAAGTGTCCTTCTAGTTTTCAACCCTGCTCATATTTCAAGTGAGCGGTTTGGGATTTGATGTGCCCAATTACTTATGAATACCAATAGGTCCTACACAGAGCTTTGTGTCTCCCTGTGTCGCGTGGTCCAACACTAGTATGGATGATATATGCTGATATATTGGAACAGCAGAAAGTTGTTCTAAATGTCTGTATGATGAAACCAGCCTCTTTTTTCTGCAATCCACATCTGGAGAATAAGTCAACAATGACAGGGTGTGTGAGAGAGTGTGTGTATCAGTCTGAGAGATGCAGTGGCCTTATGATGCTATCACTCTATTATTACCATTGTATCCGTCTGTTTTAGTGTATTCTCATTGAGAAGTGTAAGTGTGATGACATGTCTGTCTTTTTCTTGATTCTATCTTTTAAACAAGCAGAATGTATGAAGCAGATTGTTTTGCTTCATTTTATCTGTCAAGACAGTTATCTGTTCTGTTTCTTTTTTCAAGATCTATGTCAATATGTATCAAGGGAGCTAAAGAGGCAGATATAACTGAACATATCTGCCTGTTTGATGGCTGAGCAAAGATGGAAATTCTCTAACTGAAATTAAAACAAGTAAAATCATGTGGAAAAGGTCAAAAACAAGTGGTAAAGGCAGTCTTTTCCCTTTCAAAGACCTGACAGCTGAATGAGGTAGAGATTTCATGGTGTGGTAGCTTAGTCCTCCTGTGGGGAATCTCCAGCCTCTTCATCATCTTCTTCTTCTTCCTCTTCTTCCTGTAAATAAAAACAAGGCAGTCCATGTAATTTACCATCTACACCTCTGACAGACAACTCAAAATCATTCCAGACAACTCTGCAATTGGAGCTGTATATTTGAACTTTTTCCTATGCACATACGGAAACTGCTGCACACATTATTCTCATTTATAGTAAAGTAAAAGACCAATTCTAGAAGATTTTGCAACCATTTGTCGACCACATTAATAACAGTGCTCCAAATGTTCATACAAATACATAGGTGAACGTGATAGGGACGGATGTGAAGTGACCTTTACCATTGCTCTTTAAAAATAAAATGCATCAATCAAACTTCAGTGCATCACAACAAAAGGTGTTGACCTGAGGAATAACAGTAATGATGAGCTGAAGTATTGTACAAGTGTATCTAAACTAAAACTATTATTTAGAAACCAAATCAGTAATGGTTATGAGCAGGACCCGTGAACCCACTTGTTCTTTCTTGTCATTGTAAAAGTTATTTATTTTTTGGTTGTTTTGTGAAAAAAATATATTTGTTTACAACATGATGAACGATGATCTAATCTTTAATTTTCAAGAAAAATGTACGCTAGAGGGGGTAGGACCAGAAACGTTTTTTTAAGCTTCTTCTTGCCCCTGTTGAACATGACAGAGACTATTTGAGAATGTATTTATTTTAATTTGTTTGTACCTAGAACGTTTATTTTTTGTTATTATTATTATAAAAAAAAGAAAAACAAATCTGACATGTTCAATACATTTACTAATAAAAGTAATCAAAACAATTCAAGTGGAGGCTTGAGCCAAATTTGAAGAAATTCCCTCAGGGCAAGCTTAAAATACTGCAGAATACCTCGGACAGAAGGAGGGACAACCCAAAACCTAATGCCTACGTCCAGGCAACACCCATGGTAGATACAAAAAAGAGGAGGATGACCACAACCAGAGCAGTTCAGGCACTTCATATGGTTAATGAAGTAGCTAAATTCATTTTAGTCTCAAAGTGAATGGTTAATCTGGCAGGAAATGACCATGTGCATGATTGGACACCAGCCATCTGCAATAGTAAATGGACTCAGTACAGCAACCATGGCTCCCTAACCCTAAATAACCCAGAACAAGTGCTGCTTAGTTTTCTAAAGTGCATGATGACCACTGTCACAACTGGGGAGGGGAGAGGAAACACCTCCTCCCTCTTAAGAAGAAATGCATTTAATTTTCCACATGGCCTCATTTTATTCAGGGAGGCTAACTGACACAATTTATAACCCTCTTCCTTTCCTAGGCTGCGGCGGTGCAACACCACCTCCATTCATTAGTGCTCACACACTTCAGTCTTTAAAAGGGCCGCTAAATGCTACCATGTGTAACAAGGGCAAATGGGAGCACAGGGAAAAAAAAGGTGGTGGTAGCACGGGTGGGGGTGAAAAAAATAAGTTGCAATTATATTCCCCCCTGCCGACACCTACACCATTTCACACACAGGAAAAGATAACTATGGGTAGCCTGTAATTTAAACACCCTAGTGATGGTGTTTACTGCCAAACTGGTCCGTTAAAGCGTTTAATTTTACAAAAACATCCACTTCAGGATCAAGGCTTGGTTGGGTTTAAGGTTTGGTCGGACAAGTCGTCTGACCATGCCTGAACAAAAGTGTCCATAGCTGTTTATATCCCTTTCTGACAACCCTTTTTCAAAAAGGCATTCATAGTGTTTGTACGGTACATACGAAAAAGTATTTACCAAATATCATTAACTTTGAAAGCTCCACACACCTACTAATCGGTGGAGAAGGGAAAGCAGTCTCTTGCTATTTGACGGAAAGTTAGCAACACTTTCTTGGCTCTGTCTATCACTTCCAAGTAATGCCTTTGTAGAGTCTCCAGTTCGCTCTTCACCTTACAGTACTCCTAAGGTGTTTCTCTTATTTGAATTTCCTCATGTCTTTGTTGAATAATGAAGTAGACTCATACAACTTTCCATAACTTGTTAAGCCTAGAGCCAATCGGCATCTGTTTGCCTCTTTTTTAATCTTTCCATTGACTGTGTATGCATTTTAAAATTGAGCGTCAACAGTTTTTCTGGATTTCCTCTGATTCCTGGTTCATGACTTTAACCCTCTTCTAGGGCTGCTCGATTATGGCAAAAATCATAATCTCGATTATTTGGGTCAATAATTGATATCATGATTATTAAAAACGATTATCCATTTACTTTGAAAACATCAATTTATTGGAGAATTTTTTTTGGAACAGTATGTTTTTAACAGTTGATTACCCTGAATGTTAAGTATAATTCAACTGAAAAACCAATAAAAAAATTAATTAAAAAAAAGTAATAATAATAAAAAAATAATCGTTTTATTTCGATTACGTTGTTTTCGTAATCGTTGCAAGCCATAATCGTAATTGCGATTAAAATACGATTAATTGAGCAGCCCTACCCTCTTCCCAATGGCTCAATTTATGAGTTTCCCATAACTGTCACATGCCATAGCTGTCTATAAGTACGCCATAACCTTATGGTGTTGAAGGTTTGGGGTAACTGCTGTAAAGATTTAATTGAGTTGTTCTTAAGACGTAAGCCACTATAGGGAGATCCTGGTTTTAACCCTTCAACTACACCCTGGTTTTCAACTAAACAAACCCATAAAGAGGAAATAAGTAAATAAAGTTTGTTTCTACAACTGGTTGGTGCAGATAGGGCCAACGCTGGCACAGATTCTTCAAGAGCCCACCCATGTCATTCACACTGTTTACTAGCCTTATTCCGAACACTGTGTTATTTTAACCAAAAAAGGACGTATAGGAACATGTAAAGATAGAAGTCCTGGTTGGCAGCAGGAGCTGAAACTTGAATGGGAAACTATGCCATGTGCATGCTATAACTTTCTGTTGGGTCGTGTATCCACCCCACCTCGAGCGCTGGAATGAAAAGGGGTTTGAGGTTTTGTACAGGCAAGTGGTGGTGGGGCTGAGATAAAGCAGCCTATCAAAGTGGGAGAGCTAAATGACATTTTTATGGTTTGCAGCTCCCAGGGCCTCACAGCGCCTCCCAACTACCTCAGTCCTGTTCCCACACAGCCACAAATCAGAGCGGAGTTATGCATTCACACCAAGAAGTGGCCCGCACCAGTGAACAGAGGGAGGCTGGTGGATTCCTGGAGTGTGAGGGAATGCTGGGGGTTGGGGTCCTGTGTCATGTTGCACTCACTTATTACCATTCTGCTTTCATTCCCCCTCTGATGTACATGCTCTCACCAGCAACACAAAACGGCATCCAATTAACTGCTACCTATTAATAGTCAGACACGGAGGAAGTGTAGTTAACTTTCTCTCCAAGAGAAAAAATCTCAGGTCTTTTTTCTTGCAAATGCCACTTCTATATTTAGGGATGTGACTTTTTCCATAGTTCTCATCCAGCTCAAAAAACGTTAGCTTTAGCAACAGGTTGAGTTAATTTTGCAGCAACTATACAGATGTTGTCAGCCTTTGAGGCACTTGACAAGAACCATTTTTCCATCACTTCCATTGATAGGAAAACGAGTACACACAATATAATGAAAAATATGAGACCTACAAACCATCAAAACCAAATTTGGATGTAGCTTGGAGTTGTTATTAGCACTAGGAAGGAGTTTAAGGGAAGGTGGATGTGTTAACAAAGCATGTAACTTTGATACAGTCATGTTCCATCAGCTCAATGTAACAGTACATAACTTCACCATGTGGAATACTCTTAACCCCGGACAAACAAGGAGACATTTTCATGTTTTTGATCATTCCTTGCAATAGTTTGGGCCATTTGTAGGAGGTGCCTGTGGCTAAGGAGGTAGAGGAAGTTGTCCATTAGTTTCAGGGATGAAGGTCCGACCCCCCTCTCCTCCAAACTGTCCATGGTCAATTGCTCAACCCCAATTGCTTCTAATGGTTAGGCCATCAATTGTATTGTACAGCAAATCATGCCATTTAATCACTAGCTCAATTTACCCAAACTACGAAAAACTATGAGCAAGCCGTGTCCAGTATTTGTGCATGTAGCCTAAATTAAGCTAACATTTGTCAATTAAAAGTAAACAAGCAATGTTTTGATTTACAGAATGACATTTAGTGAAATAAAGTGTGTGCGAGGGTAAATAAATGAGTATCTTACCTGAGCAAGCTTTTTCTGGACGACTTGCTGTGGCTGAAAGAGAGTAGAAGAGAAGTAAGTGTTGTTTCTCAACTTTAATATCATTAACAAGAATACAATGTTCATAGCTGTCATTTCACACAAATGTCACATGGTTGCTAGGCAGAAGGAAAAATGATTCCACTGGAAATGAAAAGGTAAAAACCGAATGAAACCTGGATAATGTAGGATGCACATTGTGTCTTGGCCCTGTATTTTAACTCTACAATAACGACATAATGCAGTGATTGATAATTCAAGAGTAGAGTTAATTGACGATTGCCTCAAATCTGACAGCACAATTAATACATTCACATCTACACAGACCTTTTTAATACCTTGTCTTTAAGACATCTGTAAATATAACAGATATCATAAAGGATTAACAACCTGCATTATACCAATGTGTTCAAGTATCTCTGGGGTTAAGACAAATGGTATTTACAGTAGGGCCCATGTTGACCATTTTCTAATACTGCCTTTTCTAAATGGCCATATTCATAGGAAGCTTGCTGCAATAACCTCCCCCTTGCCACATAGCTCTGATAGAGAGCATTCTGCGGTGACTTTAATACGCAAAGTGCTGATCATTGACATTTGACCATTTTTGATATTATTGTCAATGTGTTATCGACCATAATTCCATTGGTAATCAAAAGAGTTTTGAGGCCACATACACAGAGGGATTTGAACCTCCCCTCAGCCTGTTCAGTAATAGAGTTATTAAACAGTTTAATGATTGTAGGCAAAGGGCCAAACAGAAGCAGCAGCACACCACAGGAGCATTTCAGCTCAGAGTAAAGCTGGATGATGTGCAGAAGATGCGGCTGCCTTCTCACACTTCAACATGATGAATATGTTAAAAAATGTCTGTTAGAATTTGACTTGTTTGTGCTTGAATTTCTTAACATAACTGCTGTTGCATGCACTTCTAAAATAATCTAAGCAAGCACACAGAGCAAGAACACAAGACACAACCTCTACTACAACTTCTTCACCACTTTGGCATATACGTGATTCACAAAATGATAAATGGCCACAGGTGAGAAAACAACCCCAACATACCCAAATGGAATAATAATTTGCTACAACAAGTTTTAATAGCTCCTCCACCACATTTGCTTGTTTTGTCTTGTAGACCCTCGAACAACTTGTAGATAAGGCTTTTCATGCTGACCAATCATCTCACACAACTGCACAGGAAGTAGATCTGAAGTAGATCTGGACAAGAGCTGAACAGCTGAGCACTCCATTAGCTCGGAGAATGTAAAAAGGAAACGCCGAGTCGTTGGAGCTCGTAAGACCGCACAGCTGCTGGCCCTAAGAAGGGGGTAACATGTCCCTAACCCCGCACACCCACCAGGGATCAGTTCAAACAGCTGGTGTTTTCTGTGCCAGCTTTGACTGGAATTTCCATAGGCTCAATGGCAGTAATGGAGTCCGGACACCGGATGGGTCGTGCGTGAGGAATGCAGCAGGGAACATTTGGAAACTAATGCACACAAAGAGGAGGATGCAAACGTTTTGGGCAGTTGGGTGCCTGACCAATTTTCCCAACCAAGTACTCCACCTGTCCCGTTCCCCTTTAATACTTCACACTCCAATCAGATGTTCTGCTTCTGTACTGTACTGGAAATAGTCTGTTAAGCCGTTGTAAAAAGGGGAGAATCATTTGAACGGGGACCAACAGAAGGAACGCTTGCCAAACCTCAATTCTAAGGCGCAGTGTACGGCGTAGTTTTGCCGGCTGCCATTGGTTTTAAATGTGGGTTGAGTGATAAAAAGAAAAAAAGATGATGCATCGCTGACCCTTTCTCTGTGACTAATCAGTGGTCTGCAGTGATTACATCATCATTTGGTATCGCCGCAGCTTGTTTGGAGCCTTGGCTGAGATGAGCCTAAAAAAAAGACCCTAGTATTAATGTTCATATAAACATATTCAAAGTAAAAGTATAAAAAACGTCTTCTAAATAGGCGAAAATACCACATTTATTCGCATGAAAAAACTGCATGATTTTCACCCCGAACTGCATAATTAGCATGACGTGGATATGTTTCTAAACCAGAGACAGGTGGGTAACCATTGAACGTATTTCATTTGGAGGGACCCCTGTTAATATGGTAACGCCAGCCTTGAAACGTCTATAGTTGTGTGTAATTTATGTATTTTCTCTGGTCATTTAAAAAATAATAATAATTCTCTAAATTATGAATACCATGGTCAATAAAGCATTGCTGGTTGGAAAAAACTAAACAATTCTTGCTTGAAGAATTATGTGATACAACAAAAAAGAAATGTTAATTACAATCTGACTGCAGCCCAGAGAGCACATCCTAAAAAATAAGTATTTAAGGGTTTATATCAATACTTACATATCAATTAAAGTAGCAGGTACACAACTTAATGTAGTTACTGACCATAAACACAAAGGATGAAGGGTCCTCTTTGCTTACAGTCTTACAGTAAAATGTACAAGTGCTGTTGCAGAGCATCTGTGACAAAGTATTCCAAAATAACCATCAGTGAAATCCAATCCCTTCGAGTACAGAAGCCACTCCTGCAAGTAGCTCCTCTCGCCCCCACTGCCCCCAAACCAGCCCCCTCGATCCCACAAAGGAGAAATGGCAGCATTGTCTTTCACAGGCTGTGGCAGCTCTTTGATGTTGTCAAGGCCCAACACTATGAATCACTTGTCGACCAAGCTGCCCTGCCCTACAAGTGTTTTTTTTTGGGGGGGGGGGGGGGGGGGGGCAGCTTCAACCACTCCAAGGTACGCTAGGTAAGTATGACTAAAACTAGGAGCCCTATGGTGGGGACCCCACTCAGCTGAAACCCAATCCCTCTGCTACTCCAAGAATGTGGCGCTCCAGGCTCTTAGCTCGAGAACCACCCAGCAGCCTCTTTCCAGAAGTCTTCCTCTGATCAAAGAGAGAAATGCCTCCGCTCTGCTGAGCACCGTGTACAGGCCACCATTCACAAAAGCCCCAGCTTGTGGAGAGGAGGGCCATTCAGCCTGCTCTCTCTCCAGCACCACGGTAGCTGTCCGCATCCCTTTCTGGGGTCAGAAACGTTACTGGTTCTCCAACTAGACATAGAAATCCTTCAGTCACGTCTTCCAGTAAGTTGTAGTATAGATATTTTCACAAGCACCTTCAATTGTTGACTGCTCAAGAGACTTTTCTGTCTGATCCAGCACATTGACCAGAAGCTCTACCGATTGAATTAAAGAGAATACGGCAAAACTTGCCACGTGAAACAGCAATAGGGCTACGAAGTTAGAATACAAAAATCTGATCAGATCTCAACTTTAATGGCAAGCTTTGAGTCCCAAATATATGAAGTTACATGTGCTACGCCAGCCTCATCATCATTGCTTTGGGTTCTGTTTTTCAAATGTGTATGTTATGATTGTGCGCTACTTCTGTGTTTTAACATGTGATTGCTTGTACATCATGTGTATAGAGTGTACTGTGTTCATTCTTTTCTGTCCTAGCAGTGTTAATTATCCCATAAGAAAGGGCGCTGCTGTTTGCTCTGGTTAACCGTTACTGGTCCTGCTAACCTTTGGACCTCCTTTGAAGCTAAATGGATCATTTGACCAACCTTCCCTCCACAAACACAAGTCTGCACGGATGAAGAGTCCGGCGTGAGATACGCTTCGGATGAAATGCCGTGTAGATTATGAGGCAGGTAAAACCTGGAATTCTCACCATTTAAATTGTTAAAATGTAACTTTGCTTAATAGAGCACTTAGGTAGGTAAACATTGGACTTGTTTTGTTTGGAATTCACAAACTGCTGAAGGGAAGCCTCGGTTTGAGGAACTTTTAGGGAAATTAGTCAATTAATTGCAGAGGATACAGTGTTCCTCTGGAATAATTACACGTTTTTAAAGTTGATAAGTATGATTCATTAAAACAAAAACATATACACAAAAGACTCTTTGATTTATTTAACATTGCAATGATAAGCCATTTTGGTGTTTTTTTACGAAAGAAAATGGTCTTTTTGACTTTCCACCATTGTCAGTCCAAGAATCTGACAATTTGATTTCAACTATTATAGAATTAATTGGCATCACATTATGAAAATATATCAACTGTCTTGATCAACAGGTGACCTTTTAACCATTTCACATCTTAGAAAAATTGCAGTCAGGAAAAAGAAAAAAATCTTTCCCTTTGGCCAAACCTACAGTTTCTATCCGTACACACACTCCCTTATCTCTATTTCACACTTTCTCCCATTCTCTCCCTCTCTTGTTCTTTGTTTCTTATTCAAAAAAAACGTTGCTAGGCCTTGAACTTGACCCTGTGAGACTTCCGCACATGAATGGTAAAGCAGATTCAGGCTCTCAGTTCTAGAAAAAATAAAAGAATATGAAATGTTGACAGTCTCTTGCATTTGTCTCTTCGGTGCGAGAGTCTACTACAGCTTGTAATTGTCCCAGTGTCTCTCGATCAGGCACTCCAACTCGTCTCAACATGTAGGTCTTCCTCTAATAATAATAATAGTGCTGTATTTAAAAGGTTACGTGGAGTCTCACTTACAGCTTAACCCCAGAAGGCACAGAAAGGTTCAAGACCAACCTTAAAATTACAAAAATTACACCTAACTACATAGCGTTTCCCTTTGATGCCTTATGAAGTGATGTAAATAAAGCGAAGTAGGATTGCCTCCTGTCCTAGCCGATGCCTCACCAGTTATGAATTGCACCTATCAGGGTCCAACTAAACCCAGCGATTAGGGGGAATTTGCCGAAGGGCCCTTTGTACAAGAGAAAAATGTCTGTCGTTGCAAGGAATGTGGAAAATTCCTAGCAGACAAGCAGGCTTTTGTTGGTAGGGTTTTGGGGGGTGCTCTGGAAGGAAAGAAAAGCGCAGACAAATTGGACCGGCTCCATTTAGGAGCCTCTGCTGTTTGAAGTGAAATCTGTTCCCAGAGTATCTCAACACAAAAAGGAAGACAAGTAGAAATGCAATACGTCTGCTTAGACTTAGACAAGTATTTCATTG